AAGAGCGGGGACCTTCCTTAAAATGGCCAGGGCTGCTCACCCCAGAAGGTAGGTCAGAAAACACATCAGCATCGTAGGCACAAGTTTGTGTTAGCAGGCGGTGACAAGAGAGAAGATCTACTGAGCAGACAATAATTTAGAAAGGAATTTCGGGAAAGCAAAATGTGTTTCTGGAGAATTGGACAAAACCCACTGATCGAGCAAAATTCTCCATATACCAGAGCCCCCTATAGCCAGCAATGTCAGAATCATACTGTAACACATCCCCCCTTAGCTATTAATAAGTTAATTGTTAATGTGTGAAGTTTTGTCCTTTTGAAATATTTGCTTGAAAACCAGTTTGAAGTCTTCATATATTTGCAGGAACTACTTGGATCAGTATTTTGATCTAATTGACTTGGCTTACAGGGCCACCCTAAAAGTGGCTCAGACGCATGCGTGAGAACTGAGGTCTTCAACAATTCCAACATATCTACCACCACATTATGTCCCATTCATGAGGATGACTCCCACCTAAGATTTTTTAGTATATCAGAAGAAAGAGAAGACTCTTGTGTATGAAAACCTACCCCAGTTAATTAAGGTCCTTCCCATAAAGAGCTTCGTTTCTGGATTCCAGACAAAACGACGGAAATTTTCCATCCGCTCGCTGCAGGTCTTTTTTTCATTTAACGTTGCCATTTTCTCACCAAATTTCCTCAAAACACGTCCCCCTCAGAAACTAAGAAATTCAACCAGTGCCCAAACAGTCGCCCAAGAAAAACACTTTGGGTTTTATACCTTCTTCTCCGCTGAAGGTCAATGAGATTACTTCCTATACCAATGAAAGCCCCTGCTCGCCATTATCAACCCACAGCAGATACCATTCGTTATAAAGGGTGCTGATAATGCTCACTGTTGGGGCTGGCAAGGAAAAGTTAGTTCCTATCAAATGCCCTTCTGCTTTCTCTTGACCAACTTAGCAGATCGTCAGAGTTACGCATTTTGCCGAGTGCCTGTAGGGCTCGCGATAGACTCGAGTGCGATAGCTGTTATCAGAGCAGATTAGGAGAACTGAGAAGTTTTTCTCTCTGGGTTGTTTTTTTTCTTTTTTTTTGTTCCAATTAACCTGCAAATAGTGGCTATAATTCTCCCACTACAGCCTGTAGCCATCTGCTGGGATACAGGGGATCGCAGTGGGAGTGAGGGAGGGAAAAGCACCATTTCCCAGAGTGTTTGCCACGTTGCGCAGCTGGGGAAATTAAGATCAATGTTTTTCTGTGGGGAATGTTTTTAGGTGATCTCTGGCATTGCAAACCCAGCTTCAGAGGGTGTCCCCACTTTGCTTGCTGACTATCACAGAATCACAGAATGGCAAGGGTTGGAAGGGAGCTTGGGAGATCATCTAGTCCAACCCCCCTGCTAAAGCAGGTTCTCCTAGAGCATGTTACACAGGACTTCATCCAGGCGGGCTTTGAATATCTCCAGAGAAGGAGACTCCACAACCCCCCTGGACAGTCTGTTCCAGTGCTCTGTCACCCTCAAAGTAAAGAAGTTTTTCCTCATATACAGCTGAAACCTCTTATGTTTCAGTTTGCACCCATTGCCCCTAGTCCTGTCGCTGGGCACCACTGCAAACAGACTGCTTCCATCCTCGTGACTTCCACCCTTAAGATATTCATATGTGTTGATGAGGTCCCCTCTCAGTCTTCTCTTCTTCAGGCTGAACAAGCCCAACTCTCTCAGCCTTTCCTCATAGGGAGATGCTCCAGTCCCTTTACCATCCTAGTTGCTCGCCTCTGGACTCTCTCTAGGAGTTCCTCTCATCGTTCGAACTGGGGAGCCCAGAACTGGACACAGTACTCCAGGTGGGGTCTCACCAGGGCAGAGCAGAGGGAGAGGATAACCTCCCTCGCCCTGCTGGCCACACTCCTCTTAATGTGCCCCAGAATCCCTACCTCCCTCTCAGCACACCACCAGAAAAGCCAGAAGAAAGACGGAGGAAAAAGAAAAAATAATATAATAATAAATATAATTTATAATATAATATTATAATATCATAATACTATAATAATATAGTAATATAATAATATAATAACATAATAAACGTTTTGCCGTACAGGTGTATGACGAGGCAGAGCTGAGGACATATGGGTGTCATTTAACTCCCTTTTCTATCTGCTGTAGAGCCAAAGGTTCTGGTACATTCAGAGGCAGACACCCAACCCCGAGGTCGCCCTGTGCACCGAGGAGCGGGACTGAAAAGCGTCCCTGGCAGCTCCCCATGGACAGAAAAGCAAAGGGCAGCACGACAAATGGCAGAGCCGATGGGCTCCCTAAATGCCCCCCCCTGCAAGGGGAGCCTGGCTTTGAGAGAGCCCCTCCAGGCACGCTGGTGTGCTTGCTGCTTGTCGATGCTTGTTCTTTGCTGATGCTCTTACTCTCTTGTTGGACCCTGGTAATCTCAACCCCCCCCAAACCGCCCTGTGAAGGCAGCAGGACCAGGGTTTCATCCCTTTTAACACTGGTGCGCCTGCCTTCCACTCACTTCACAGGATGGGGGCAAAATCTTTAAAATGAGCACATTTGAGAAGGTTGACTGAGAGATTTTTGGCTTGTTTGGACATTGAGACAGCTGTAACTGAGCCTGTCGGCTGGAATAATATAGCAGGGTTATTCTGTCAGCTAAATAATGCTGAATGTCTGAACCCAGAGAGAGAGATTTATCGTGCTTTTCTGCCTCAAATCAAGCAGCATGATAGCTGAGCATAATAGCCACCAATTTGGGGTGATTTAACTTGCTTTCAGATGACGAAATACGAGTCAGGCCAAGTAAAAAAAAAATAAGACTTACAGACATTTGACCAATTTGTATTTCCCATAGAAAGGAGAGGAAGATGAACAGAAAGGTACTTTCAGCCATTACACCGTGAGCTGACCAATATTCAGGACAAACGCGTTTGGGTTTTTTTTTCTTTTAAGTTAAAATAAGATGAGATTGGGCAGTGGCCTGAAAATGATGAAAATGAAGCAGCTACCCAGAGGTTAAAAGGCTTGTGGAGGCTGCCACATAGCAGTTTCAGAAATGGGAACAGAGGCATCAAGAGGTTAGGGGGAAAAGCAGGGAGGGAAGTGGTGGGCCTTCAGCGGGATTTAACTTTTTTCCGTATTGAGCAGGAGCCCGTCTGGTGAATCACAGAATCTTAGAATCATAGAATCCTAGGTTGGAAGGGACCTTAAGGATCACCTGGTCCAACCTTTCTAGGTAAGAGCGCAGTCTAGACAAGATGGCCCAGCACCCTGTCCAGCTGCATCTTAAAAGTGTCCAATGTGGCTGAGTCAACCCCTCCCCTGGGGAGATTATTCCAATGGTTGACTGTTCTCGTGGCGAAAAATTTGAATCAGATGGAGGGGAGCAACTGGACTCAGTTAGATGGGGATTTATGAAGAGAGAGAAGGAAATGTAAATCTCGCCCCTGCTTGCAGAAAGGTGATAATGTAACAGTACACAACTTCAGTGTGTGGCTAAGCCTAAACAAACAGATTCACTGTTCATGGCAAAATTAAATCCCAGATTATGTTCCAAAGGAAAATGTTGCTACTTCTGTTCCCACACGCTGAAGGTGCTGTAGAAATCGGCAGCGTTTCCACTGCAAGTAAAGGCAAGGAGACATGGCCCAGGTCAGCAGCTGAGGCTGAGCACAAGCGTCCGCAAAGGAGGCGAAACGGAGCCTCTGGAAACTTAGGAGTTTGTACTCTAATGGAACCGAGGCCAAGGATTTCATGCGCTCTTCTCGCTCATATTAAATCCTGTCTGTTCTCATCTCTCGTTGGCCGGGGAACCTAAAACTCTGCTGAGTCCAGCACCACTCACCCAAGTGTGCCTGCATGGCGTGGAGGGGACCAAAAAACCAGGAGGGCAGAGCCATGTGCGGGAGGGCGAATTCAACACGGGCAACGGGAGAGGATCACCATCAGCTGCTCTCATCCCAATGGGGTCAAAGAAATTTGTCATATTACAGAACAGGCAGGAAGGTGATGGTTGAAGGAAAGGAAGGACAGATTTCAAATGGAGGGGGAGGGCCTGGCTGCTTTTAAGTGCTGCCTGTAACCTGTATGTGATCCGCAATTCAACAGTGCCGGCTATGTTAGGCAAGAGTAAGGAAGCTAAAGTATTTAAGTGGCTGATTTAAATTAAATTTCCTTATTTCTAAACCGGGGTTAGTAGAGTATTTCTAAACTGGGGTTAGTAAACGCACCAAGTTAAACCACATCTACAATAAAAGGTAAGAATAAAGCAGAACAATATTACGGATGGAAATCTGCTCTGACTAGAAGCTCCAAAAATACAAACTAGACAAATGCATTAACTACATTAATATAAGAGAGTAAATAAAATTAGTATAATTTTATTATATCCTTATTGTATAATAAGCTATGTACATAATTTCAACTGATGCAGAAATTAAACACATAAATGTATTAGAACCAACAAATCACAGCAATGCATTTACATAAAAAACAGAAGTAAGAAAAGCAAAGTTATAGAACAGTGCGAGCTTATATTAAGATGGTTTCTCTCTTAGATTTCTCCTCCAGTATTGGAAATTGTTAATGAAAATGGCAGATATTTCTCAGTGAAAATGAAAGTTGCCAATATTTGGATCAGTAGATATGAGCTGAGAAACTTGGATTTTACTGAAGAAATCACCAGGAGTTTTAAGCCGGCATCAAACTTATAAAGACCAGACTTGTTTGTTGAAGCGGTGCCACGTGTGCCACTGCCCGACTGCTTGTGGCAGTCGCCTGGTGCTTGGGAACAGGCGCTTCCTATTTGACGCTCGATGGATGATTGGAGAAAAAAATTTCATTAAAAACTGCATTTCACTTGCATTATTTCTCAGTATAATTAAAGAAATGGGATTGGTTAGAAATTAAGTAACTGCTCATTAAGTACGCACCTCCTCTTGGAAGCTATTTGCAAGCAAGACGAGAAGGTGGTTGGAGACAAGAAGGTGGCTGAAAGACAAGAAGGTGGTTGGGATTTACCAAGGGCGCACTGTGCCCACCAAACTGGTTGTTTCCTCTCGTGAGATGAGTGGGCTGGTGAGCAAAGACAGTGGCTTTCCAATTTGATGTCATCCAATCTGACGTCAGCAGAGCTTGCAATGCGGCAGCAGGATGGGGAGCAGTGCATCGGCTCAGGGAGGACCAGGGCAGGGTGGACGGCAGCTGGGTGGCTGGGACCACAGTGCAGTGCTCAGCAGGTGGACATTCAGCTGCAGCTGGTATGGAGTGGTGCCCCTCCAGGGCCAGCACTGATGCTGGGGCTGTTTAACGTCCTTGTTGACCATGGACGCCACGGCACGGTAATCGATATGCTGGAGGGCCGGGCTGCCACTCAGGGAGATGTCAGGAGGCTAAAGAGGGGCCCTCCAGACCTCAGGCCCTCCTGAGCTCAGCAAGGGCAAAGGCAGGGTCCTGCAGCTTGCTTAGCAGCAGGAGAAGGCTGCAGGGAGATCCTACTGCTGTCCTCAGTGGCCTAAAGGGAGATTATAAGGTCAAGGCCTTCTCTGAGGAGCACAAGAGGACAAGAGGCAACAAACACAGGCGGCAGCGAAGGAAACTGTTGAGCTAGAAGGATCTCATCTCCATGAGGGTGGGCACATGCAGGAACAGGAGCCCCGAGAGGGGGTGCAGTC